GGAAAGGGCCGGGGAGCAGGGTGGTAAAAGCTGAGTGACCAGGAAGCCTTGCAAATTAGCAGGAATTATGACTCTGTGTACTGGTAAGTAAAAACAAAACAAAGTTGCCCAACACTTGATTTCCCGGTAGATTTTTAAGCCATGCTAGCATAATAAAAGCATCAGATCGACTGATCTGAAGTGGCCTGTGCTACTACTGAACAAAGTCACAGAATGACGCTTTTTTAATATTTAACAGTTGGATTGTTTTATCCACAGGGCACTTCTATGGAGTCCCTTATCTAAGAATCTATAAGCTGTTAACCAACATTAATTCGTTCTCCAACAAACCTCATGAATGGAGTAAGCTTAAATAAACAAACATCCATAATTTATTAAATTATAATAAGGACAGGAGAGAGAAGTTAAACATCTTGGCAAAGTCACTTAGTGAGATCGATACTCCTTTGAACTTCGCCAAGGAAAATTTGTGTAATCTAGAAATGTACTTCTTGAATTGTTTATTATTCATTTAATTTGACAGATAACAAGAATGAGAGAATTTATCAGAAGGTAGACAGCTGTTTATTTCTGACTGCTAAATAGCCACAATGGTGAAAAGATTTTACCTAAGTAAATCTTAAATCTTAAATTAGAAACTAAACATATGCCAGGAATGAAGAACGTTAGAGAAAAATAACTCCATGGTTTTAAAAACTCTAGAAACAGAAGAGCCTGAAGACCCAAGCATAAGAATATCTGAGACAAAACATTAATAGTAAATCTCATATAAAGAGAATAAATCTAAGATTACAATGACCTCTTTCTTCACTTAGGGCAATTGGTTCAGTGCTCTAATTTTGCATGCTCCGAAAAGAAATTTCTTTATGTCAATCAAGTCTTACCTGGAACAATTTATTTAAGAAAACAGGCAAGACATTCCGGAAGTTAATGGTTTAGACAAAGCAATGGTGGGAATAATGTAATTAAATTTCAACACCCTAGGATGGTGAAACATGCTAAGGGGTGCCTGTTACCATAAGCTTGCAGGAGGGTAGTTTTTTGTGGGTTTCTTTCTTTCTTTCTTTTTTTTTTTTGATTTGTTAGGTTTTATTATAATAAAATGAAGGAAGTCGGTTTGAAACAGCCCAAAGGGAAGAGACGAGAAATAGTTTTTAAGCTTTTGCAGGGACCCACCCTGGAGTCATAAAACATAATCATAACTTGAATGAAAGCAAAAGAAAAAAATGGAGGAATGGCATAAAATGACTTATAGTCAGATGAAACTCTTTGAAAATTGCAATTCTATCAAATGACTGCAGCCTGGAAGAAAAATCTCAGATAAGTGGTGGGAAAGGAAGGGTTTCAGAAAAAAATAGCCACTGAACATAAAGTATGATATTGTTTGCAATGTTACTGCCACAATCTTTACTCTAACTATACACTAGAAGCCACTCATTTTTTTCCTCAACAAAGCGCCTATTGAGTTTTTTGCACACAGTAGGAATGTAGTGGGAACTCTGTTGTTGAGCTTAGCTGTGTTTTTCTTAGGCAACGAAGGTGGGTGTTATATAGGGTTGTTCTGGAAATCTATAAAGACGATTCCATTAGTATAGTACAGAATTCTTAAGAAAAACAGCAGCAGCAGCAAACCAACAACAACGAAACCAAGTTCTGAGGCCTGAACTGTTTTCTAGTGCATTTTATGGTTGTATGGGAGAGCAAGTATATGCTCACCAAAAATTTAAACTGGAGCATGCCCACTGCCCCTCCTAAGAACCCACACATACACACGCCTGTGCCACAGACATGTCTTCTAGGACTGGAAGGAGAGATGTTACTTGGTGGTAGCTAGTGTTAGGAAGATTAATGCATAATAAGAATGGGAAGAGGAGAATGAGTGCACCTTCTATGTCCATCCCCTCAGAGGCTTCCTCTGTCTGCTGAGACAACAGAAAGCTTTTCTGTTAATCATGAAAGCACTACCTCTACAGGTAAGAATTTCACTTACCAAGCACTATGCTAAGCAAATAAGATAGAGATGAAACAGCAGTACCCTCCAAATTCCAGTTGACTGATTACTAAATTCTAGCAAATGCCAGCTAAGGAAGTGCTATCCTTTAGAATATGCTAAATCAAATTTTTGCTTTAAAGATTGTGATACTTTAAGACCTATGAAATCAGTTTGTGTAGATAGCCAATTTTTAACTTATTAATCTTCTTAATTTTCATCTCCCACTCCTCTACTAGAGGTGTTGATAAAGGGAAAACAGATGAAGTCAAATTAGTCAATTTGTTGGTTTTTACAGAAGTGAGTTTCATTTAAATGAAGTCTGTGAATTCCTCTAGATGTCACATGTCATTTTTATGCCTCTATTCTATCATCATGGGTAATTAAGATCTAATCATATTTACAATTCTCAGGCCTTGAAAATTCCTTGATCTAAGTGGATTTTATGTGTGTTGGAGGGCTTTTCTTTGTGCAAGGCACTGCCGAGGATACAGATATGAGTCAAACAGTCCCTATCTCAAGGAGCTAACATGTTCTCAATAAGCAAGTTTTTTTTTTTTTTAAATAAAGTCTATATTTTCTATAAGGCCTTGGTATGAATGGCTTGTTTTCTGTAAATACTACCAATCTGTAAGTCATGTTGTTTTTCATAACCCCTAGCTCTTGTGTCTTTAACTACATAAGGAAATTGGCAAATTGCAGGTGTTGTATTTGAAGTCACCACAGAAGAACTAATAAAGACATCTACATGCAATTCAAAAGAAATCTTAATAACAGCTAATACAATACTGTAATAGCTAATGCAGTGTTTGCTCTTTTCTAATCAATTCCAAGTATATAGGTATACACTCTCTTAATTCTCACAGCAACTCTAGGCAAGGGGTATTACTTTTATCTTAATTTTACAGATGACAGTATAGACACAAAGAGAGAGAGTAGGCACAGATAGAAAGAGAAATGCTGGGAGACTAAGAGTGGGAATGGAATAATTCTAGGTATCATCAGGGATTTGAAAAAAAAAGGAAAACTTTCAGAGTCTACAATTACTGAACTGAGTTTAAACAAAGTCTGAAAGGAGAATAAGAAATTCCAATGGTACTAAGCTGTCTTAGGTGACTAAGTATATAGCAAGCACAGAAAAAAGTCACAGTAAGGACAAGTGTAAGTTCCAGTGCATACATGAATTAGTCTTTTTACCTTTTGAGGAAAGATTAAAACTATTTTAAAGATTCTGACAAAGACATTCTTAATAATTGACAGGAAAATAAAAACAGTGATAGAGAAAAGATAATCCAAAAAAGTTAGAAATGTCTTTAATGAAATAAACCATGAGAAATACAGTTTTCTTGTATATTTATGACACCAAACCCTGATATAAAAATGTATCATTTAAATGAAAAATATATCATTTAAATATCATTAAAATGTTTCTAATCTTTAGGAGCACAGTCTCAGTTTCCATCTCAATGTTTGATGTCATGTATATCTGTGAAAATTTTATTATCAAAAATTAGGAGAAAATTCATAAAACAGACCATATTTTTTTCACATTGGTCGGGGAGTAACAGTTTTCCTGGGGTCTAACTTGTTTCCCATAATAAAATTTCAGAATAAAAATTGTTTTTAAATGTACAAAAGAAACTCTCTTGATGAAAAATACATGTAGCATACTGTCACAAAAATTATGAAATAGTAGATATTATAAATCATACATTTCAAAGCAGGCATTCTATAGTTCGGCTACTTGGTTTGAATCATAGTTCTGTCAGCCTACTAGTTTAGTCCACGTTCTCTTGGACACACTACTTGAACTCTTTCCTCAATTTTAAAAAAGGGAGTACCAAGAGAACTTACTTCATAAGGCTGTTGTAAGAATAAAATAAAATAATACTTGCAATGTTCTGCTTGGTACATGATAAGGACTCAACGTTAGCTATTTTTTTCATTATGTCATTATGTAAGCATTTACTATTATACATAAACTATACTAAAGGGAGAACTAGAAAATCAATGTTTTGAAGACTTCTAAATCCACTGGAAAAAAAGTAATGCAGATCGGACCAGCCATTTTTTTAATAATTACTTAAAAAAAAATTCTGTAACATTTGATCTGAAGACTGAAAGAGAATCACCAGTCTGGTTGATAGTAATTTACATGCACAGACATGAGGCTTTCTATAGAGGTATGTGGGTATAGTCCCATGGAAGACAAAATATTTGATATTATTTCTAACTTGGTATCTTTGGGGCTTTCCCAGTGCAAGAAATATGCCAAAGTAAACTATAAAAAGCAACAGCCCATAGCTAAATAACAACAACAAACTGATCTGTAGATGCCAAAGCATTTACCTTAAATGCAACTGAAATCGGTCACATCTGGGTGTCTGTGTCACTCTTAGAACATTTTTTTAAATGTACAGTTTCTTTATAAAAGTTTAGTAGGCAAAGCTTGTGAAGGCCATAGGCAACGGAGCAAATTTAAAAGGCTAATTAAAAATGAAAAATAATATTTCATTTAAATATCATTAAAATGTTTCTAATCTTCAGGAACACAGTTTCCTTTCAATTTTCATATCAGTGTTTGAGATGGAAACTGGCCTAGATGCTAGCATCTGGCAAATACCATTTTGAATGGACAAAATCAAGGCAAGCTTTTAATTTTCTGCTGTCATACTTCGTCATTTTTTCCTCCCTATCTTACACTTCTATTCCACTTTTCCTCCACTTGGCTTCAATTTTATGATGTCCAGTGGATGAAGTTTAGAGTTCTCAATCCTATGCCTTGAGCTATTTAGAGACAAGACATCATGTAACACTAATGTTGTTTTAATGCATCATTTGCCAACACAGCACATAAAATGTTTACTCTTGAATGATGTCATCAAATACCATTCGCCAGTATGTCTCACTTTCATAAGCCATGTAGGAAATTTATGTACCTTAATTTAAAATATGATTTTATACACATTTCCTGTGAGCCAGAAACATACAGACTGAGAAAAGTACTTACTTTTGCTCAACATAAAGAGGATCAAAGAATTCTGTTGTGATTTTGTTTGCATACAGCGAACAACCGGTCATTGAACATAGCCCTAAAAAGTATCAGAGGGAAAGTACCATGGTTAGTGTTATTTCATTAACATGGTGAAAGTACCTTGTTTGGAAGAAAGTTACTATTTACCTGACAGTATGAATACAATGCCAGCCAAACAAGCAATTTTAGCTTTGGCTTTATCTGAGCCTCCGACTTTGGTACACTTCATTCCAAACAGGGCAAATATGGAACCAAAAAAGCCCAGGCTGACAGCAGCAATCATAAGTCCTCTACATGCCTGGATATAACCTGCAATTAGAGTAGGTCATTTACATTAACATAAAACTGGTGGCTCTCCGGGGAGAAATACTTATTTTACATTGTCTTTCTAGATGATTGTTCTGTTTTCCAAGATAATAATAACAACAACAACGACAACAACCATAATTGTTAAAACACATGGTAAGACAAGCAAGAAAGGAAAGCAAGTTAGTCTACATGGAGTGCCTGTTCTATGTCACACACTTTTAAGTATGGCTTAGACATAATCCTCATTAGATCTCTGAGTGTATATGAGGAAACCGAGGCACACAAAGTTTATATAATATGTCTGAGATGAGTTAGTAAGACATGATCACAAAATCCACATAACACTGCCTTTCACTGTAGGAAGCACTGTCTGCCCTCTTATTTCCTTACATGTCGAATCTTTTAAATAGATGTTTTAATGGTTTTAACATTATAAAATTTATAACTGGGCAGCAATACTTCCCAAAGGGTCACATCTTCCAATATTAGTGAAAGCTTATAAATGAGACCAACTAAAATATCACCATGAACCATGAAGAGTCTAAATCAAGAAGTATACTAATGACATTGTGTTATTTTCAGGGCACATATAATAAAATCTGGTTTAAAAAATTGATATTTACTAGAAGCACATTTTATAATTACTAAATTAACTGACTGCATATAAATGGATGCTTTCGAAGTAACCCTAAACACTAGTTCTGTTCCTTTGTTTGATCATTCTTCCTAAATCATTCATTTCCTTAGTTACATGTTTTTATTTGCACAGCCGTAGTGATGGTAAACTTTATTTGGCTTTTATCCAGACACTAACAAATTTTAAATTAATAGAATTTAAATTAATAAACTTTTCCCACATAAAATCATTTTCATTTCAGCCTGAAACAATACCATATTTCAATCTGAAATAGTGATGGCATATACCAGGTATAAGCAAATATTTGTTAAGCAAATGAATGTAAATGTACACCAGGTTTACACTTGGAATTAAACTTGTTAATCTGAAAAAACTTATTAATGCCAACGTACTGAAAGTCATTTATTATTAGTCTTCAGACAAAGGCTATAATAAATAATAATTTTAAGGCTATGATAATCATAAATTCAGGGAATAATGCTTGAAGGTGGCCTCTAGTCAATGTTTCTTTGAGAAAGAATAAAATTTTAAGATTTAATTCTATTCTTAGGATCAATTTTGAAGAGTACACAGAGGATGCTTTATTTAATTGAATAAATTTAGGCCTCCACAAATGCAGACTTCAATGACAACTATCTTATATTTTATAGTATGAACTACTTCTGGACAGAAAATGATTTCACTGATGGGGAGACTATCAAAAACAGCAAAAGAAACTTTTTTTAGAAAGACAGAACAATGCAGGTTTATTTTGATAGCAATAATCACGCTGCAGTCTCTCTGGGTCTATGCTACCACATACTGACACAGCTCTATTTTAAACTTCAGCCCTCAAGTCTCCCTGTCAGAATCCAGAGAGCAGGCAGAAGCACAGACAGAAAGAAGAAGCCTGTTAGTTCCTTGCAAGATTAAAGACAGTCTACCAGGATAACCACAACTGGCTTGTCATTTACCAACAGAGCTACTGGGTCTGTGTGGGTTCATTATTTTAATTTATGGTTTTGAGGTGTTTTAGCTGACTCTGATTACAATCACTAAGCAGGCAACATACTTATGTGTGTGATGTAACCTCTATAATATGTGTTTTAAAAGATTCTAGAAAACTTTATCATGCACCATAATTTACATTTACTTTAGTAACTTTATAGGCTTTATGGACAGAAAATGCAGGAGCCTGGCCATAGGTTAAGTCCTGCAATCAGACCATTTAGACCATGGAATACATTTTCCTAGATGGTAAAACAGTGGTTAGAATCCCACGATGATGCATTCAATCCTTATTATAACTGGGAAAAATAAGAGCAGTCTTTAAACTTTATTTAACCAACTACTCATAACCTTTTTCTGAGTTTCTCACTCAGTTCTCCTGTCTCAGCTTTTGTAACTGCAGCAGGACCAGTCCCTTGGCACAAGTTCAAGAGGAGAGATGGGGAGAGCAAGGTTCTGATACGGTCAGGTCCTTCTTCAGTACCACTAAGAATCTAATTTGGAGGGAAAGGTACCTCTCTCTGTCGGGAAAACACTACCAATAAATAAACTGCTAACTCATTACATACACAAAAGAAAGCATCTCACCGGCACAATCATTGGGTAGATTTTCTGAAACAGGGATAAGCTTCCCCGCCAGCCATAGGTGTAATCCAGTTGTTGGCAAGCCTGATGTTTGTAAATTAGGGGTTACTGGTCCTTAAAACACTCACAGACTCAGTCCTTAGGTGACTTCCAACAAACTTTTTCAGAGTTTATCTTTTGCAAGGCAAACCTCTACAACCTTGCTTTTTAATAGTTCCTCAGGGAAAAACTTATAAGTAACACCATCAAGTGAAGTGGTGGTAAAAACTAGCCAAGGAGGCCATTATTGTTGACAGGTCTAATTTACTGACACCGTTAATAGCTAATTAACACATTAAAGTGCTGAGGCATGAACATATTTACTTAGAAGTTCTCTGAAGTATAATTTATAGTTAATTCTCTTCAAAGAAATAGCAAACATTCCCACTAACAAAAATAGACGGCATATACTTGGCTGAAAATGATTCTCACCTGAAGTTCAAGTGGTATTTTTAAAAGGAACATAGGTTAGCAATAAACAGAAATCACTAGATCATTCAACTGTGAAATTTTCAATTAGTAAACTACAATGACTTTAATGAATTCTGTTGGAGGAAACTTTCAAGGTGTCCCTTAAAAGTTAAGTGTTTTCCAAATGATGTGTACCTGGTTTTCCATTTCAAACTAGTAAAAAATGAAAATAACCATTTGGAGACAATTTCCTAGTAGCACAAGAGCTAGTAGCTAGATCGAAGGGAGGAAAAACATGCTTTTCTTATGTTAGTAGCTTTGTGTACTTTTTGCAAATCCTTTGAAAGAAGAGTAGTATGGGGAGAAGACATAACCTCTGGATTTCAGATCTGATTCTTCTATTTACCCGCTGTGTACCCTTAATTATGTTAGCTAATCTCTCAGAGTCTCTGTTTTCTCATCTGTGAAACAGGGATAGCAGCGCTTACTACACAGGACAAATAATATGAACAAAGTGTCTAGTAAGGGGTAAGAAACTCATTGAAGCACCTCTTCCATAATACTGAGATTGATTCTAAGCAGAAATTTGAGTTGGGGTCTTAACGTGGCATAACATTAAATCTAGCCAGTTAGCTTTTTCAGTCTCATTTTCCTTATAGGGAAAATGGGAGTGACCATGATACCACTTGATGAGGAGGAATTAGAGCTTTGACCTCATATAGGACATTCAGACTAATGACTCCATCGTCTACATCCAAGACGCTTGTTCTTCCACCTACAACTAGACGCCTACAACTAGATGAGAATGCTATAAGCCTTCTCTCTCTCATCTTGGATTTTCTTCTCAATGTAGACCTATGCCTAGTTTAAGAGGAGAGTTTGTCTGCTCAGGCTTATGGCCACCATGGTCCATAGCAACGTAGCCTTCTCCTGCACCTGCAAAGGCAATGTCAAGAAGTCCACATGCAGCATGCTGTCGGTAGGACCTGCCTCAGAACCAGCATCCAATAAATGCAGCTGCCCTGGAACACATGACAGAGAGTGGACAAGCACAGGAGACTACTCTGAGAAGTTCTGCTTGGAGGTGGGGGAATCAACTCCTCTCTATATGAAAGTGTAGTAGTGTCAGTGAATCCCCCAAAATGTTATTCTAGAAGATAAAGAAAAGTAAATCTATCTCTTTGGAGCAATGCCTTTCTAAGCCATAAAAGGTAGAGCCAGAACAAAGACTCTGACAAATCTGATTATGAGAAAAATCATCATAAATCTAAGACAAACAATGGGCTGATATTGCAACATATATAACAAATCAAAGATTGACTGACATCTGGAATTTAAAAAAACAAATCATTTAAACCAAAAGGAAATAACAGAACCATCAGCATAAGATATGGACAGGTAATTCACAAAAGAGAAAAAATAAATGAACAATAAATACGATAAGATGGTCAAAAACACTGGTAATCAAGGAAATGCCAATTAAAATGATAACATGATAATATGTGACCCATAATATCAGATGAAAAAGAGTGGTGAGAATGTAGAGAAATAGGCATTCTCATACACTGTTGGTGGGATGTAATTTGCTAGTATAAACTAAATATGAAAATGAATATTCTATTGCCCTGGCAATTCCATTTTTCAGTATCTACTCTATAAAAATACACATATGCTCACACAAAGAGGCAAATATAAAGATTTTTAGTAAAGAGCTAACAATGAAAAGCTGGAAAGGATCCAATGTCCAACAATGAGTACGTGGTTATATAAACCAGTTCGTCCAGACTAACAAATACTATGTAGTCATTAAAAAGAGTTACTTCTATATACAGACTGGGAAAGACATGTTATTAATTTTAGAGCATTGCAGAACAATAGGTAGTATGATGTTATTTATGTGTTTTAAAGTCATTTTCTAGGTACATGAGCACACATGGAAGGCTATTTTGCAAGCTGGGTTGTATATAAATATCACTCCTTCTCTATTTGATCCATTCTCAACTCCCTCTAGAGCTTAATAATTGAGGGCTATTCCCTCCTTCCTCCTCACTACTCCACCTGCCCCCAAATCTTGATACCATGTCCACACTCACCTCAGATGCATAAGGTGAAAACTTCACTATTCTGAACCCATTAAGCTCCAGGAAGCATTTATTTTTCTCTCTTCTCCCTTGTCCCCCAAACATCCTATAGAAGGAAGCATGCCTATCTAGCACACTAACTCAGGAAACAATACAGTTACAACAGAAGAATGCACTTAGGACAGTAACTGTCAATCCCATATTCCTGAATGTAAACCACAGAAACAAGAGCCTGTCTGTTCAAAGCATCTATCTGGATGTGTGCTCTGCAGAGCACAGGAAATTCAACAGTAATATTCAGGAATCAACAGTGTCCCAGCTACTCATTTTACACAGCAGGACACAGACCCAGGTGTCACCAATCTAAAATCAGACATGTATGCCCTTACACGGTGGTTCCATCAAATACCACATTGAGCAACAGTTTGCTTTTCGTGGCAAGCACCATCTTAGAGGAATTAAATCTTGTCTTTTATTTACTCAGCTATGCAAATAAAAAATTGCAGTGCTGTAAAAAAAGAAAAAGAAAACACCTAAACTCCAGAAATAATGTAAATGACTCTCCCTAAGTTTCTGCCAGGATCCATCTAGTCATGTGCTGTAAAATCCTGAAAGAAAAGACCTTAGAACTCAAGCAGTCATTGTGACTGACGACTTGGACATCTACTGTTCTCTTGAAACTATGAGTCAGTTTTCTACATGAGCATCTACCTGTTGCTATAATGCAATGCAAAATAAAGCCCAATTAACAAAAACAATGTAGAAAACAATTTTTAAAAGAACAACACGAGGTAAATCCGGAGAGCAGATAAGGTTGGCACGGACACAGAACTTGTCAGTCTCCCGCACAAGATTCTCGATAGCCAGGATTCTCTACCCTCTAAGGCATTATTTATTTTCCTAAAATTTTAGAGGAAGCATAAAAGCCCAGGCTGACACGTTTGTAGAAGCGTGGTTTTTTGTTTTTTGGGTTTTTTTCGGGGGGGCGGGGGAGGGGGGGTGAATACCCGCTGCAATATGTTTTCCTTTTGTCCTGCTCACTTTTAAAAGAATTCATGAAACAGCTAAAGGGAGTTCAGGGCAAACTGATTTCTCTCTGACAAGTCAATGTTACTATTTTACAAGTCAATGATACCATTTTAGTCAGAATCCAGCTTTTCTGGGGAGCGCTGGATGGAAGAGCCTCTCCCCCCAATCCCGCCTCCGCGGGACTCCATGTCTTAACAGTCCCCAAGAGATAGGGGTCCCACAGTTGTGTGCTCTACTCTCAGGAGGGTAAAGCTGCCTCCCGACACCTGAAAGTCACCCACCCACCCAGGCCTGTCCTCATGTCCTCCCCACCCCGCGGTCCCGTGCTTGGACAGGCGTCTCCAAGAGACAGACATCTGGGGACAGCGAGCGAGTGAACGGGGGACTCTCCCCAGCTCCCTCAGACCCAGGGGTTTGAAAGCGGGATCAGGACTCAGAGTCCGGTCCAGGGGTCCCGCGACCAAGCTGTCACCTCCGCGCACTGGCCAGTAAGGAGTGAGGGCAGGGGCGGGGGTCGAGGGGATGCAGACCGTCCAGCGCCAGCATGGAGGGGAAGTCCTTGCAGTTGGAGACACCCGTGGAGTCAGTAACGCACGTCTTCCACAGGTTGGCCCAATAGGTGGCGGTGGTGATGACGGTGCCATCGATGGTGGACACTCTCCAGTAGTCGGTGGGCAGCGTGGAAGATACGAGCACCCAGCCCGAGACAGAGACCATGAAGGCGATGATCTCCGAGGCCGTGCTCGCCATGCCGCCTGCTGCAGCCGCCCTCACGCTCCCGCTCCCGCTCCCGCTCCCACTGTGCCGCGACCCCCGCGCACCAGCCCCAGGGGCTC